CTCTCTCTCTCTCTCTCTCTCTCTCTCTCTCTCTCTCTCTCTCTCTCTCTCTCTCTCTCTCTCTCTCTCTCTCTCCTTCTCTCCCTGTGTCGCTTTCCATCTCTCTCTCTCTCTCTCTCTCTCTCTCTCTCGCGCGCGCTTGCGAACTCACACCCTCACGCACACACACACTCTCCCCCCCCACACACACACCCTCAGGCCAACATCCCCTGGAAGGTGCCGGGCCTGCCCGCGCCGGTGGAGAACATGATCCTGCGCTACGTGAAGCACAAGGCAGACTGGTGGACGCAGGTAGGAGTAGGGGGGGGCTGGGAGGTTGGAGCCATGTGTATGCTGGGGTTTGCGGTGAGGGTGGTTGGAACAGGAGCGCTGCTGCTACTGCTGCGGCAAGCTTGGGGTGGAGGCTGGTGCGCGATTCGTGTGCGACATGTGTGCGCATATGGGAGGATCGACGCGGGTGCGGCACAGACGCGCATCGTTGGTGCTCGGCGACCGGTGCTGCATCCACAGCGAGGCTCCACGCCGACATGTGCACCGACGTGCCCAAACGCTGACGTGTCACCCGGCACCCCTTCCAGGTGGCGCACTACAACCGCGAGCGCATCAGGCGCGGCGCGACGGTGGACAAGACGGTGTGCCGCAAGAACCTGGGGCGCCTCACAAGGTGGGGCCAGTCGGACAGGGGCGGGCATGTCCTTACAGCTTTCTATAGAGCTGGGCCCGATGGCCTGTCGAGTCAGGACATCACCCTTTTGCGATGTTATTGGATTTGCAATCAATTTCCTGTTTTGACACCCCCCCTGGCTCGATGCCACACGTTTGATTGGCAAGCACCTCTTTCGACTCCACACCCTTGCCCCCGCCCCACCCCCTGCTCTCGACACCCCAAGGCTGTACCTGAAGAGCGAGCAGGAGCGGCAGCACAACTACCTCAAGGACGGGCCCTACGTCACGCCCGAGGAGGCGGTGGCCATCTACACCACCACCGTGCACTGGCTCGAGTCGCGCAAGTGAGCGCCATGGCCCTCCCCTCACC